GGTTCTCAGGGAGGGAGTTTTCCTGGCAAGGGGGGTGGGTGGCGAGGCAGAGCGTGAGGGAGAAAAGTGGCTGACAGGCCCGGACACCACATGACACAGCAGAAAGGCATGGACTTAGGAACCAACGGTTTAGGCCAAGTTAATAGACCTCTGTGAGCCTCTGTTTTCTCTTGTTAAGTGGGCATAATAGAATCTAATGACAAAGACTTGGATGCCTTGATAAATGCCTGGTGTACGTTAGGGCTCACTATTTCCCTACACGCCAAAGTGCTGTAATGTCTCCCATTCAGGGGTTGACCACTTGTACCAATTTGCCTGGGATTTCCCCAGTTTGATTGCTGCGCATCCCATGTCCTGGAAAGTGCCTCAGCCTGGGCAAACCAGAGATGGCTTATCATTTTAGCTCACCTTGATGATACACCTGTCCAAACCTTCTGCTGAGCCTCCTGTTGGAATCTGTGCTGAGCTACCTGGATGAACACAAATGCCAGGAGGTGGTGTAACAATCATTTATGCTTATGTTTAAACTGTCCCCAGGCACTGGGCAGGTCAAGGCTATAAAGAACAAGACATGCCCTGGCCGGCTTGGCTCAGCAGTTAGACAGTTGGCCCGTAGACCGAAGGGTCTCGGGTTTGATTCCTGGTCAAGGGCACATGCCTGGGTTGCAGGTTTGACCCCCATGTGGGAGGCAACCAACTGATGTGTCTCTATCACATCAATGTTCCCTCTCTAAGAGAGAGAAAAAAAGAATAAGACACAGACCCGCCCTGGCCGGTTTGGCTCAGCGGTTAGAGCGTCGGCCTGCGGTCCAGAGAGACCCGGGTTCGGTTCCCGCTAAGGGCACGTACCTCGGTTGCAGTTTGTCCCCGGCCCTGGTCGGTCGTGCGGGTGGCAGCCACTCGATGTGTCCCTTTCACATCGATGTTTCTCTCTCTCTCTGTTCCTCTCTCTCCCTCCCACTCTACCTGAACAAAAAGTGGAAAAATGTCCTCTGGTGAGGATAAAAAAAAAAAAAAAAAAAAAAAAAAAAAGACACAGACCCTACATCGCAAGGAGCTGTGGGAGGCGTGTGTGCACAAGGGGGGAAAATAAGGAGGAAGGAAGTACTTATGTGTGAACTAAAAGTGGGAGTTGTTAGTCTGATTGTTCACTGGGAGAGTCCTCCAAGGCTGAGGAGCAGAACAGGCATGATGGAGGGGCCAAGGCAGAGAGGCCACGCTAGCTCAATGCAGGACACTCCTGCTGGCGTCTGGAGACGGGGCAGTGGTTGAATGGAGAGGACCCAGTACAATTAGCCAGAGAGGTCCTCTGTAGCCATGTGTGTGATGGGAGATGGAAGGACAGTTAGAAAAGTCTTTACAAGGTAACAAGTTGTTCTTGGAGACTCTGTAGGATTTGCTGATGAGAGGGAGAGGATATTTTGGGAAGAGAGAACAGCATGTGCCAAGGCCCAGCGGCAAGAAGCAGCATGGGAGGATCTGAGAGGGCCCATCTTTTGCTCTGAGTTGAGCACAGAGTACAAGGAAGGATAATGAGGGACATAACCTTGTGGAGGCAACAAGGGCTATATAGAGGCCTTGCAAAGGGCTTTAAACCTTAAGGATAATGAGCAACATGATCAGACTTATTTTCTAAAGAATCTCTCCGACAGCTAGTGTGGGGCATGGATTAATCAGAGGGAAATGAGACTGTGGACAGACTAGCAAGAAGAGAGTCATGATGGCCCAGCGCAATGGGGGTGCTGACGGAAGGGAGAGGAAAGCTCACCAGCCAGGGATGGATGAGCAGTGAGGGGCGAGAGGGCCAGGGCAGAAATCCCGGCAGATCCCAGGCTCTGGCTCAAATGACCCGGAGAATAAGGACACACTAAAGTCCTGGCTCTGCCACCACGTATTTATGGTAGAGCTGGTACCCGATCTCAGCCTGTCCCCGCATCTGTAAAGCGTGATGACTCCACCTTGTGGCGTTATAGTGAGGACTTAACTGTAAAGGCACTCGTCAGTGTCTGGTGCGTTTGTGAGTTCTGTATGAGTGCTTGTTACAGAAACAGAAGTCACAGAAAGACATCTTTGGAGGAAAAGACAGGGCTGTTTCTGGATGTGCCGAGTGCCAGGAGCCTGTGGGAGACTGCCATTAGGCAGCTGAAAACAGCCTTGGAACTTCGGAGCAAGGTCTGGACAGAACCACGGGTGGGAGTGGCCTCCAGAGGAAGGGGTAAAATTGTTTAGAAACACTGCAAATAAGAAGAGGGCCAAAGAAGGTATCACAAGGGCAACACGTCCCAGGGAAGGCTGAGGCTGACTGTTGAGAAGCTGACTAGGAGGTGCTGTCTGAAAAGTGTGAGTGCAGAAGAGGTGTTGAAGGAGCCAGGGGAAGCCCAGGAGGTGAGGTCTCTGCACCACATAAGTGAAGCTCGTGCTTCAAGACTCAAAGGAACAAGGGAGTAAGAAGAAAAGAACCAAGAGATGGGAGGATGGGCACAAAGTTACCTACTAGAGATTCAGGAAGTCATGGGTAACATGCTCACTAGGTGGCACCACAGACAGCCTGTGGCTGTCATGTCCAGTCTCAGAGCCGGCCCTTTCTGCGGGCCTTGCTGGAGTTCCATTCACACCTGCCAGTCAGCCATGTGGCACTCAGTCAACAAAGGATCAAACTTCCACTACTGCAAAGCTCTGGGCCTATCAGTGTGTCCGAATCTACGTCTTTGTCCCAAACCACTATCTTCCCTCGTTGGGACCAAGTGTGGCAACTGCTTTCTAAATGATCACTCGGCATCCTATTCTGATACCCCACAAATCCATGCCTCTCCCAACTGCAATTTCTTCAAAGTATGTGTATCCTAGCTGCCCACGAGCCCACTGGATTAGGATTCTAGTGCAGTAGCTCCTGGAGAAAGAGGGCTGGGTTCAAGTTCCCCCTCCAGCACTCACTGGGTGCTACGACTTTGGGCAAGTTCCTTAACCTCTCTGCACCTCTGTTAAATGGATACATAACTTAGCTCATAGAGCTATGAGGATGAAATGAGTTTACAGTGTTTTCTTAGTACAGTGGTTAGTGTAGTAAATGCTCAATAAATGTGAGCTACTCTTAAAGTCTCTGGGATAAAAATTAGAGTCCTTATCGCGGTTTGTCCAACTTTCTGGTCTTTTCTGAAAGCACTTGCCTTTCATTCCTGCTGCTTCAGCACCACCTGCATTCAAGCAATCCCCCTTCCGTTTCTTCTGCTGACAATGTTCGCTCCCTCACCTCCTCCCTGATGTGGTCCCTCACTCAGCCTTCTGAGACCTGTCTGAAGATCTGATTCCTCATCTTTCAGATCAAAACCCTCTTATAAAATCGTTATAGATCTTTGCATATTGTGCTGTGAAAACCAATTGTAATAAAACAAAACAAAACAAAACAAAACCCTGCAGTTGCCTGGGGGCAGAAAGGTGTCTCATTTGTGGTTGGAGACCAGCTAGGAGGAATTTGAAGAACTAGCACTAAGGTGATCCAGGAAAGGGGAAAGAAGCAGACGTGAGTTCATGGAAACGAGTTCACTTCTACCATTTCTACATCTCCTTCCCAGCTCTCTATCCCAGTCCCTCTCTTGTTGCTCAGGGAGACCTCCCTCAAAGTTATTTTGGACAAGCCCCAGAGAATCTCTAGTCCTTGTCCTGGGGGCCCATTATGCTGGTCCCACAGGGAAGCAGCGTTTTCCAATGACAGTCTGAATGAACCTAAGAGAAAGGTTTGCAGGGCTGAGACTGGGGTCACACATTGGGGTTCAATAAGGGAAAATGAAGTCATCATGCCTTTATCTTGAAGTCAATGAGTACAATCAGTTTCCATGATTAATGATCAAACTATTTATAGAGCAAGCTTCTTGAGGACAGGGCCCGTCTTCTATCTTCACTTCTACACCCTGATGTAGCAGATTGTTGAAAAATAAAAAGCTGCCCAGCTGGTGTGGCTCAGTGGATTGAGCCTAGTCCCATGGACTGAGAGGTCCGGGCAAGCCCGGGTTTCAGGTTTCATCCCCAGTGGGGTGTGTGTGTGTGTGTGTGTGTGTGTGTGCAAGCTGCTGCTGACTGATGTTCCCCCTCCCTAAAAAATAAACTTTCTTTAAAAAAAAGCAATTAAGGAAACACAATAAAACACGTTGACTGAATAAATACTTCCTACGGAAAACACTTGAAGAGCAAAAGGCATGGAATGAAGAAACAAAAAGCGGGACACAATTCCAAGAGCTGGGAGTGCACATGGGAAAGGACGCCCACAGGGCTAGTTGTGCTGAGGTTACTGTGGAAGGCGGTAATCCCAAAACCGCCCTCAGACTTCTGCAACTACTACAGTATCCAAAAGGGATAGGAGCTGGGGGTCAAAGGACAGACTGGCTCCAACTGAAACCTCAAGGGTCACGGCACAGGACAGGGACTCTCCATGTCCCAGCTCCCTTAACTATACAGCCCCTCTCCCTTTAGAGCAAAACAAGGAGTTAGACATGTGGAGGTGTTTTGTTGGTAACAGTTGCTGGAATGCTCTGAATCGTCATTCTATTGAAAAATAATGCAGGGCCCTGTCAATCTACAATTGTAAGCCAAAGCAGCAAATGATAAAAGCAGGAACAAATACCTTAGGCAGATGCCCAGTGCCCCCCACCCACTCACTGTTGGCTACCTCCTAAACCTTCAGTCTGTGTTCAGAGGACCCACACACCCATGCACCACTGCACCCTGAGCTCCCCCTCGTGATGAAGTCAGGCAGGAGTCGGAAGGTTTGCTTTCTTATCTAAACCAGAGCGAACCATGAACCTAAAGGTTATTCTCATGGACTCACCTGACAAGGGGCAGATGCATTTACTTCTACCACCACAGCAACAGCCTACAGGTTTGTACAAAAACTAAGACACAATGCAACTGCAGGATGGCTCTGCCCCTTTCTCACCTCAAAATTCTCAATTTTACCATGTTCCTTTGAAACACCACAGAAACAAATGTTAAAAACAACTCAAAACTTGAATAATACTTTCTTTATTTACAAGTTATAATCAACAGACAAAGAAAGACAATCCAGGGGACCAAATGGGGAGATGACACAAACCCCCAGGGATCCCAAATGGAGAAAGGGAAAACAGAGTAGAAAAATGTCAACGTAAAAAATGAGCTCCCCCTTCTTACCTCCCCAAGGAGGCCAAGGGGACCACAGCCTCACACCCCTCAGCCTTCCCTAGCGTAAAATAAATTAGAACCAACCAACCTCAAAACTGGGCCTTTACAAGTAAACAGGGCAGCTATGGCCTCAGGTAACCACCCATGAGGGTCTTTCCCCACTCCCACCATCTCCCTGCCCTGTCCCAGTCATTTTGAATGGGGCCCTATGCCCAAGAGGTCACTCTCAATGGAGCCGGGAACTCAAACCTTATTTTGTCCATTGTGTCCCGCCTTCAGTAAATATCCCTGCATCCCTCCCCCCTGCAGAGCCAGCTCTCCTACAGTGGGGGGAGGGGGTGAGATGAGGAAGTGTCACAGCAAGGGGGGAAGGGGTGAGGCAGGGTGGTCTAAGGGTCCGGTCCTGCGGAGCCTCCTGCCCCATCTGGCCTGACCCCTTAGCCTGAGTCTGAATCACTGGTGTCTGAAGAGGAGGAAGATGAAGAGGAGGAGCTGGAGTCTGAGCTGGAGCTGGAAGCGCTGAGACGTGACACAGCTACTTGCTGAGCAGACGATGACTCTGTTTTCTCACTTGCTGCAGAACAAAGTTGAAGGTTAAAGATGGGTAAGTCTGATCTCCATTTCTGAAGATAGCCAAGAGGGCAGAATGCAGTGAGCCTGCAGTGGTGTAAGAATACTCACCTTTCTTGGGGGGCTTTTTGGTGGAATTGAGCTGCCCACTAACATCTTGTAACCGCTTTTCTAGTTCCCGCTTCTTCTCTAACGCCAGTTCCTCCTTTGTCTTTCCCACAGGTTTTTTAATGGCTAGAAAGAGACGTATCAGGACTAAGATTGCTGGAAACATTCTAGTTTTATCGTACCCTGGTGCTGCCAAGTTCCTTTCTTGAACACCATGCTGGGAGCTGAGTCACAAGTGCACCTAGAAGGCACGCCCTACTACCCCCCTTTCTAAACCATCCTGAGAATCTCATGGGGATCGGTGGACCTCATTCATACTCACTGTAGGGCTTCCGAGGTTTCTTTCGAAGGCAGGAAAGGACGTAGCGCTCAAGCTCTCTAAGTGTGGATGGCTTGAGAGTTTCAAAATCAATCTCAATCTCTTCTGGGTTTGAGTCACGTAAAGAAGGCTCCCTGGCTTGGATTATGTGCACAACTCGACCCAGCTTCTCCCCAGGTAATTTGTTGATGTCCAGGCTCAACTGCCGCTTCTCATCATAACTCATGGGCCTACTTTCTTCCTCCTCCTCTGAATCATAGCCTGTAGGCAGGGTAGGTGGGGCTGTCTTTGTGGTCTTTTTGGGTAGTCTATGGGCAAAAGAAAACTCTCAATTAGAGAGGCATCCTTAACCTATCCCCACAGGTTCCTACTGTTCAAGCCAGCATTTTGGATTTCCTGCCTGCATGCAGTTTGCTTTTTCCATTAAAACAAATGAGTAAAAGGTGTATTGGGGAATGCCAACCATTTTGGGCTTTAAGAACTAGATATAGCCCAGGTGGTGTGGGTCAGTGGTTGAGCATCGACACACTGCACCAAGAGGTCGCTGGTTCGATTCCCAGTAGGTGGTGTGCAGGAGGCAGCCCACAGATGTTTCTCTTTCACATCACTTTTTCTACCTCCCTCTCCCTTTCTAAAATCAGTTTTAAAAGTCTTAGAAAATAAATAAATAAAAAGAACTAGATATAGGCATGCTGGTATGAATACATCTTCTAGTTGCCCAAAGCACTACTAACCTACCAGACCACAGAAAACAAGAAAGAAACAGTATAGATACATTGGTTTAGAGATGAGGGTAGTCAAACTATGGCTCTGGCTTGCCATTTGTTTTTGTAAATAAAGTTTTATTGGAACATATATTCGTGTTCACATCTGTATTGCCTATGGCTACTTTTGCACTGTATTTGTCAGAGTTAAATAGTTTTGAAAGACCCTGTGGTCTCTCATGACCCATGTCCGTAACCTGGCCACTTAAAGAAAACTTCACAAGGAATGGGAGAAAGCATCCATCCATTACAACTCACTTGGTGCCACTTCCTCCAGAAGGTCCAAAGCCAGGGGTACCTAATGTAGCAGCACTGCCACCCCCACTGCCGCTTGCTTTCTTGGATTTCTTGGGCTGAGAGAGGCGGGGTACCCGAGGCCCCTTGTCATCTTCATCTACCCCAGTTCGGCCTCGATGCTTCTCTGCCTTCCGCTTCTTCTTTTTCTCTTTTTTCTCTCTCTTCCGCTTGGGTTTGGATATTGGGCCTTGGGACAGGGCAGCCAGTTGTTCATGTACAGCCCGAAGCTGGAGGAAAAAGAATCAAGATGTGAAATGTAAGAAACAAATGAAGTAGAACAATTTAAAAAGACTAAAGAAAAAAAGGGCAGACAGGCACGAAATGTCTTAGTATACTGAACAGCAACAAGTACCTGTTCCTGCAGTTCTGCCAAGCGATGAGCCCTTTCTTCTTCCGAGTCAGAGCTTTCACTCTCTTCTTCATCTTCATCTTCATCCTCCTCCTCCTCCGAAGAGCTCTCACTGCTACTTTCCTCACTAGAGGACTCTGAAGAGGATTTGGCCAGGCCAGCAGGCAAGGCAGTAGAGACTGGCAGAGGCCCTGGTTCTAGTGGTTCATCTGGCATCTTGGCATAACGGAACTCAAATACATCCTAGAAAGAGAGGCTGACTCAAAACCATGCTGGGAGACAGTGACCTGATTATACCCAGCCACTCCAAGATATGGCTCCGGCTCCACTTTACAACCATAAAGATGAAGTGAGCCTCACATTAAGATCGTGCAGTGCAGATGACAAAAATCTCTCCCCAGACCTACTTATTTTCCCAACTCCAGCTTTGGCACTCACCTGTAGCTTTCGTGCCATGGCCACAACATCGTGGTCTGGGGGATTGTACTTGTAGCAGTTGGAGAACATAAGCCGCACATCAGCAGCAAACTCCTGGGCATCCCGGTAATCACGATTCTCCATCTTCCGCTGCAGAAGGAGGCAGCGTCAGAAGCTGCACAGGCAGGGAGACTCACCTTTCCCTGCCAACCCCAGACACCGCAAGAGCAGCCCTCTTGAGAGCACAGTGGGGATGACTTTAAGGATCTGTGCCCTGGGGTTCAAGTTTGAAGTCAAAGGAATTTGGGTGGGTTGAAGAAATATCTACGTCTAGGAAAAAAATCATTTCTAAGTAACAGAGGAGGGTCAATGGTCTCTATCCTTCACCCCTTAGATCCCCTAACCCAACAGCCCCAGTAAGTAGAACTGTATACAGTATTAGTGTTGCTCTGAAGATAAAACCCACGATGCAGTTTCAAACTCCAGAAATTAGGAACTCTTATCAAGTACTTGACCAATTCCACATAACTATTTTATAAAATACCAAGAACCAAAGATTTCTGTATGCCCCTAAGGAGAAGTGACATGGTTTTTATTGATCCCTAGACTCCGATCACTGCCTGAGCATCCCATCTGCCCCATGCAGTGGGTACCTTGACAGTGCTGAGGTCCATGGGGTGCTTAATGATGTCATGGTAATCATGTAGGCCAAGAGCAGAAGCATCCACTGGTTTATAGAAAGGCCACGCATAGGCAGCGTGCTTCTTAGAGAGTAACTCCTTCAAAATGCCATTGCAATGTTTCAACTGTTCTGACAGCTTTCCTTTCTTGGAGCTCTGGTGTTGTTGCTGAGAGTCAGGCAAGTCTTTTCGTGGGGGCTTGATGGGGCGTCCACTTTCTCTGCGCATAGGGGGAAGCCGTGCTGCCTTAGGCTCAAGACCCCCGGGGGGGCTAGCTGGGGAACCAGGAGCCAGGATGGCTGTAGGTGTGGGGGTGGTAGTATCTGCTTTCCGCTTTACTCCCTTCTTCTGCAAAGAAACAAAACAGGAGCCTTTACTTCAGGTTCACCTCAATCAAGCTATCCCTCCCCATTGTCCAAAAGAAATCCAGATCTGTACCTTGGCAAGGGGCTGGGCTGGGGGAGCTGCAGAGACAGCAAGGAGCGGGGGTCCGGCGGAGTGTAAGGACTTGAGAAGGGGAGAAGAGATGACCGATGGATGGGGAATGTTGAGGACAGTGGTAGGTATCTCAGGAGGTGGAGTATACAGGGCTGTGTGAGATACAGAAGAGATAGCAGGCACCTGATGGGCACTGGTGATACTGCCCTGGAGTGCTAAAAAAGAAAAAAAAGAGTTAGTTTGATCAAGCTTTCCCATCTTTTGGTCTCCATAGCAAAACTCCCACTCTTCCTACCTGCCAATTTGGCCCCCTTCTTGTGGCTGTTCTTAGGGATGGTGACCACAAGCTCCTGTTCCTCCTGTGGCATTGATGCTACTTTCTGTAGGAAGATCTTTTCCAGAGTTTGTGCCATCAGGACAATATCATCAGTGGGCTACAGAAAACAGAAAGGTTCAAGTATCAGCAAAGATAGACTAGTTTTCTCAAAGGAATTTCTAGCCCAAGCATTACTACCACTCCCTTAGATACAGTTTGTCACGGAGTACTAGAATTTCCTACACTGGGGCTACTAATTCCCACTTTCTCTCCCAACCTGTCCCCCTCAAAATTCAACCAAGAAAGAAAATTCAGAAATAAGGGAAGGAGATCTTACAAGGAAAATAAATCCTGCTCTATTCAGGTCTCTGGGAATTTCTGACAAACAGGTTCACCACCCTTAAATATGAAGGTTAAAGAACCTTTAACTCTGCATTTCTGAAGCCACATCCTTGTAAGTAGTGGTATGCTTTGGAGCTCACATTCTCTAGATTCTGACTAAGGATACCTCCTATAGAAGACTCAGACTTTGTATAGCATATTAATAAATATGGAAAAACTCACCTTGTTATAGATGTAACAGTTGGTGAACATGGTATTAAAATCCTGCATACACTCTGAAGCAGCCCAATAATAATTATTTTCAAGTCTTCTCTTAATAGTACCCATGTCCATAGGCTGCTTTATAATTTTATGGTAATCCTAAAAACACAAAAAACCCCAAATAGGTCAGAGCCACTGAAAAATGCATGCCTGTTCTCCTAAGCAATCTATTGACCCCAACACGCACACATACACACACACACACAGCGCCCATGTCAAAGGAGTCCCCTAAACTGCGGCCCCAATTAAACTGCAGGACAGAAAAAAATGGAATAGGATTCTTAACACTCAGCAGGAAGGAGATTCCTACTGTCTTTCTCTAACCACCCACCTCCCACCCACTATGGAAAGTTTCCCATCCTGTGACATTACCTCTAGGGCTGGCTATCCATGGGCTGCATGAGGGAGAGGAAGAAGCTAAGAATTTTGGCCACCGTGGTCCTCTCCCAACCTGGGGTGGGAATCTGTAAAATGGAGCCAGGGCACAAAAGTTAAGGAAGGACACATGGAGGGCACAATGAGAGATGCCAAGATAGCAAACGGTTGGATCAATCACAAAGGACCAAAAAAATCGAGAAATCTGGTGGCTATCTGCACAATGGGGGAGAGATGGGAAATCCCTAGGGGCCGCAGCACCTATTCTAGACAGCCCACCCCACTCACACACATTCTTGTTCATTCCCACACACCTCCCCAACTCCAACTCCTCAACTCACCGGCAGACCCAGTTTGACGGCATCCACAGGCTGCCGGAAGGGCCATGCAAACTGATGTTTCCACAGAGCCTTCATCACCACCTTGTGCAGGTATTGCAGCTGGTTGGTAACCCGTCCTGGCTTTTTGGGATTGGATACCTCCGGAGGTGGTGGGTTGGCAGGGGTCAGTTGTAAAGCTGGCACTGAAGCCATTGTGGGGCTTTCGAATCCCTCATACAACAGGGAAGGCTTTCGAATCCTTTTCCCAGGGGCTGCAGCCTCTGGGCCCAGCCCCAGTAACCCTGCATTCCCTTCCCCAGGGAGCCTGTGAAAATGGGAAACAAAATTAGATGTGGTAATCTCATAGAAACTAGGGAGAGTGCAAATTACACTATATACCCAATAAATCCAGGTTTGGGACCTAATGAGAGGCGAGCAAGCTTAACTACAACCAGTACTCAAACACATTCTTGTCTCCCACCCTCACACTTTTTGTTTCCTTATTTTTAGCCCATTTATCTAGGTCCCACCTTCTGGAGTCTGATAGGTGCTCTCTCTGTATTTTTTCTTTATGTAGGGAAAAAAGCCCCCAAATGGTTTATAGGACGTAACAGAAAAGAACAGGGCTTGTGGGGAAGAAGACTTAAGCAAAGTGGGTGGAGCTAGAAACTCAAGCCCCAGGCCTGAGAAAGATCTCATCCACTAGGGGCTTAGTGGTTGCCATGGTGGTCGAGGCTGAGGAAAAACAGGTGAAAAAAGCAAAAGGAAGGGGATGAGAATTTCTTAAAAGTGCTGATGAGACAGCTAAGAAGCCATCTGGGCAGATGGATTCCTCCACATGCTCTGCATAGTTAACTGCATGGCAGAAAATCGACCAGAAATCTAACGGAAAACCATACCAACTCAGAAGAAGGAAAAAAAACAACTCAGACAAGGAGCATTTGTTTGACTCCACAGCCTGGAATATAACCCAGCAGCCAGCCCCCAGAATTTTTTTGCAATTCCAGTCTCCTTTCTCCAAGGGACTACAAAATAGAGCTGCTCAGTCAAGGTCAGCAAGTTCCCTCCTAAGAGGAATAGTACCCCACCCCCCCATCTTGCCAAAAAACAAGATTCCAACAGTTCTCACTGTAGCATCAACTCTGGAAATAAAAGGCCAACAGTGGTTCAAGTTTGCATTCTCTCTGGTGCTGCTCTGAAACAGGTGTTTCCTAAGGCCTAAGATTGAAATCACTACCTTAAGATCTCATTATTTACACCCCAAGACAGCTGGACTAGGATCCTCAGCCCCACCCTCCCGCCTTAAATAAAAGGCGAGGATATCAAAACGTTCCTTCCACCAAGCAAAATACACACACCCCCCTACACAAAACGACCCAGTCATTGAAAGACGAGCAGGAGTTTAATGACCTAACCTAGACTCCAAGAACCCTCCAGCTAAAACGATCTCTCTCTAACCTTACTCTGGGTATTCCCGGTGCCAGTCCCTGAAGCTGTCACCATGACAACCCTGTAAGGCACTAGATGTGGCCACGAACACCTCAAGAGCCATGACAAACCATTGGTCAACACCAGGCCCACTACCCACAGCCCAATCAAAGCTGTCCTTCCCTATTTCATTCCGCGGCCAGCCTAACACTGACTACGTTTGGGCCACCGCGGGGAGAGTAACACAGACATAACAACCTATACTCCCTCCATACGCAGTGTCCGGGACACTACCACGGTTCCAAAACCGTCGCTCAACCCCCTCCGCGAGCCCCCGAGTCAACAGTCGCGCCACGAACTAGCAATGCGCCCGAGTCAGTTCGGTATTTCCTCCGAACCCGACGTCCCTCGCTCCCGTGCCGTAGCCCCCCCACCCCAACGTCCCCTTCCCGCTCGCGACGACGTACTTGTTATGGGGAGTCACGTTTTGCAGCATCTTGACCGCGGGCAACCGGCGCTGCACTCAGCCGCGGGAAGTCCGGGTGGCCTCGGTTCCCCTTACCGCCCGGTCCAGCATAACCCGGGGAGTAGGGGGGGCCGCTGCCCTTGCCTTCCAGGCGACAACCCCCCCCAGTGGGCAGGCACGAAAGCAGTCTCCTCCGCTGCTTCACGAAAGCTCCCGGCAGCTTGGCGCGCTCCGCAGGAGGCGGACAGCGAGAAAATGGCGGCGGCCTCAGCAGAGGCGGGCGAGCGAGGGGAGACGGACTCTTCCAAACCCTAGGAAGGCCCCCCGATCCCAGACACCGTCGTCAATATTGCTCGCTGTTGGTCTGCAAAGATCCCCTCTTCCTGCGGAGACCGTCCAGGGTGGACAAGGTCCCGTTTCGATCTCGATGGAGGCGGATGAACACGAAAAGTGGTTTAGGGAGCCGCCGCCTCCATCTTTGAAATCCTCTTGAGGGCGGAGTAGAGGGGGTGGACAGATTCCGAGGATTGGGCGGGGCCCGAAAAAGGGGAGCTTCGGGGGCTTCTATGGGGTCTGTACTGTCCGCCGGGAACGGTCATAGGCCGAGACGAAGGCCATTTCCAAGCGGATGGACGTGGATTGCAATGGCGGGCCCCGACGACTTGAAGGCTCTGTATCGGTAGGCAGAATCCTCCAGCCCGTTCTAGAGGCTGCTCCACTCCAGCGCGAAATGGCGCCGCCGAGCCCCGCGCCAGCCCTTTATATATAGGCAGAGGGGAGGAGCTTCGCTGCTCATGCGCGCCACCGTGCTCGAGATTTCCCCCACCCCCTCCGCGCGCGCACGCTCGCTCGCTCACGCGCGTGAAGATGTCCAGTCGAAGGGGAAGGAACGCCTGTCCGCGGGAGCATTTTCGATTGGTCCGCTGAAGCGATTATGTCATAAACTTCATTTCCAAGTGTCAGTCACCAGGCAGAAGAGTGCCGCATAGACCCACAGGGAAGCGGCAACCCGCCATATCACTGAGCCAGCTGGCCGCGCGGTGGTTCGGCGACTCCAGGGAAAGAAGGACGTTGGCAGGGTGCAGCACCCTGCCCCCACTCCCTTTCCAACAAAGTCTTCCCAGGCCTCCAGGCCTGGTGCGCCTGGCGGCTGCAGAGGTCGGGCAGGTCGTGCCATTCGTAGCTCCTCCATAGGCCAGACCAGAGGACTGGTGGGGGCCGCGTGGGCGTAGCCAACCTCCGCCTGCCAGGGTGTGGCCGCAGGACGCCTGGCGGTGCTTGTTTTCGACAGTGAGGCCGCCGCAGCGAGGAGTCTGAAACGAGGAAGGAGACGCCATCTTAAGAGCCACGGCCTGGTACTCTAGCGAACAGCTAAGAACCCAGCGAAGACGGGATCCAAGGTCCCTATGTTCCCAGAGTCTCAAAAGCGTCCCTGCCCTTCCCCAGCTCAAACAACAGAAAGACAAAGGTAAAAAAAAAAAAAAGAAAAAAAATCCCCAAAGCTGCTATCAACAAGGTAAAACCTAGAATTCATTCCTAAAACTTGCACACCAACCAAGCACATCTCCGATCCCTATCCACTCATACTTTATCAATACAAATACCTGCAGGCTCCACAAAACCTCAGCGGCCCTAAAGTGGGAATAAAATATGCAAACACACCTATATATGAAACCCACCTCCTCCCCAAACTTCATTCCGGTGTCTGGCTCAGGGCAGGGGAAAAAAACAAGTCGTGCGAGGGGCGAATCAGGGCGAGCCACCCTCCCCTGAGGAGAGCTCGGCCTTTGCCCCACGCTCCCTGCCTCCCCCACCCCGAGGGCATGCCCGCACCCCCCTTAGGGTCCCTCCGTCGAGGGGGGCGGAAGGGCCCCCATCCCCCCACCAGGGTCCGGAGTCCTCCCCACGGAGCGGCTGGTCCATCGGTCAGCGCCAGGGAGGAGGGCGAGCGGAGGAGGCGGCCGCTGCGGCTCACTAGCCCTCCCCCTCCTTCTCTCCCCTTCCCACCCTCCCCCCCCCCCCCCGGCCGTCCGCCTCGGAGGAGGGGCAGGAGCCATTTTGGGAGCTCAGTTTCCCCCCTCCCCCTCAACCCACTCCTCGGAATCTTCCCCACAATTCGGTTATCTGAATAGGGTTAGACTCCGAACGAATAAATGCCAGAGCATTCCAAGATCAGGATCTCTAAAGCCACCACCTCTGGGGCTCCCCGTCCCCTTAGGGCCCCCCCATTTCTCCCTTTCTGGAGATCAAGAAAACAGGCTATGCATATCGGAAAAGAAATTAATGCAAGTCAACGAATACAAGAATCCCCTCCCCTCGGAAGGGCTCCTGAGGGCCTAGATCCTTTAGTTCCAACCACGTCACCTTCCCTCTGCAGTAGCTCTATAGCCTCAACCTCGTTACTGCGTCTAAAATGGCCGTCAATCTCCTGTCTTCACGACTTCCCCAGTGGGGCAAGCTGCAGGGGGAGTGCGCCCCGGGAAAGAAGATTCACCGGCCCCCCTTCCGCCGGGGATTAGGCCTCGGCCCCAAAAGTACAGGCGGGCCCGCCCGGTGGCTACAGCAAGAAGGGCAATGACACAGCAACTTTGCAGAAGCCTTCTCCCCTCCCCCAATGGCCCAGCCTCCCAAATTTGCTTTTCTCCTCCCGGGGCTCTATGCAAGTCTGTACAGAGGCCAGCCAGGAAAGAAAAATTTAGGAGGTCGAGAAAATACTGGGCCTTAGAAAGCGAAAGGGCAGCCAGACATTACTCTGGCTTGTTTCCCTGCATTCCGGAAAATCACTGCTCCCCGCTCCCTCCCGATCCTCCCTTCCCCCTCATGAGTCACACAGGAGGCTACAGCTACTCAGTAATTTGGAAAAGTAACTCTTCCCTCCTTTCCGTTCCCTCCCCCGCAGTACACAAGGAGTGAACTGTTAGGAATGGGGGAGGGGATGGAGACGAAAGACACCACCCTGGAGAAACCCGAAACCTCGTGAGCTGTGAAATCATTGCAGGTTCTAAGCCTCACTCCCTCCGGTTTCAGACCACACTATCTGCTGCCCTTCTACACCCACCTTGGGCCTGGTTTCTGCTCGCGAGCAGGCCCCGAGCTTTCAATCTGTAAGCCCCCCCACCCCCCAGCCTGGGGTAGACACATGCTCAGCTAAGACCCCAACGGGGCAAAGAAGGTTTGTACAGAAGGCACCATTGGCCGTGTCCACGTGAATACACACAATTTCCATAAGCACCTCGAAGCGTAACCTCCAGCATGCCATGTGACGACTGCGAGCTTCCTACCGCAGACACAAAGGAAGCACAGATATGCTCCTTCCAGAGTCTGGGGAGAAAAGGAGTGGGCGCCTGGGAACAATCTCCGTTCACACCCTGGCTGCCCACTCTAAACCTTCATACCCACAAATAAGAACTACAGTCACCACTCCCACTCCTCAACCCACTAGGTCATTCCCCGTCGCCACACATCCCGCCCATCAAAAGGAAACCTCACCTGGCCACGGGCTTCTGTATCCCACAGAGGACGAAGGGAATGTGGGGGACACACCGCTCCAGGCCCTTTTGCCCTCCAATTGATAGGGAGCCATGAGGTTGGCCATTCCCCTCCCCCATCCGAGGTGCCCTCTCCTGCTTGCCTCCCTGCATGCTCCCATTGGCTGTGAAATATTTGAAGGACAAACCCACCCTCAGGATTCTACTCTGAACCCCAAGAATTTCCCTCCCGGACTCCCCACCATTGGTTAAGCACGTAAATGACTGGCAACATCCCCGCCCAAGTGCCCCTCTTACCTGGATCCTGGAATCTTCCAGGGGGGAATCTAATGTTCCCCTCGGCTTGGTGCGGGGGGAAGATGTAATCCGGGGTGTCACCCCCCACCCCGGAAACTGAAGCTGTGTTGGGGGAGGGGGTATAGCCCCCAGCCCCTCCCTTCTTGATCGAGTAGGGGGGTGGGGAAATCACCTGGGCCGCGCGGACACGTCAGCAACACCCAGATTGGCTGACCCGGGTCACGTGCCAGGTGACCCCCTCCTTCCTCCTCCACGGGGGCCAGTTTTCCGAAGGTTCCTGGGGCTCGCACAAGGGGCCAAGGGAACTGCATAGCCCAGGTCTATTTCCAGAGACTCAGTGCGCTCTAATGCCGCTGCTTCTCTCTAACCCCGGCTTCCTGTCCTGTTGTCGCCGACCTTGTACCCCCCACACCTCTCCTTACGGGTTCAGCATGGCTGCCGCAGCCCGGGAACGTTGCACCGCGCAGGCGCAAGGGTGCGACCGGATTGGGGGAGGGGAAGGAGCGCCGGAGGCGGCGGGCAGAGCAGCAGAGCGCAGGCGTCGGGCAGGCACCGCCGCTCCCGCGGCGCGTCTGGGAGCGCGCGCGGTGGGTGGGGCGGAAGCGGGCGCGGCGCGTGGACCTCCTGCCTCTCCCACCCCTTCCCCGGTGCCCCCGGCCTCGCGGGGCGGCCTAACCCGATTCTTCTTCCTCAGGTATAAGATACAGCTCGACATGTCCTGACCGGAGTCCAGAGGAAATGCGCGCTACGGAGCTGTAGTCAGTGAAGGAGAATGGGGCCTGGATCTGGAGATGGGAGGGTTTGCAGGTGGGACCCCTTCCCCGGGGTAGTAGTGTGGTTCGACCGGGGCGAGGGACTGTCACCTGCCTGCCGCGGGGGCTGAGGTGCGGGCGCAAGATGTAGGCGTTTTGTACCCATCTTCCTCTTAGGGAGTTTTACAACCTCTCATTTCCCCCGAACCTACCTAGACTGCCTTACTTCATTGGGACCTGCTAGTCCCTGGACTCCTCTGCCTTCTACAAAACGCACAGCCTTGGGCTTCCTTTTACTTTTTTACTCATCTCGTGCTCGACCACCGAAATTAAAACTCTAATTGTTTTTCCTAAGGCTTTGTCCTCTTTCGATCTTGAGTCAGTCCCATAAAAATCGAATCTAGGGATAAAATTGAAATTGAGTTGTCACCTAAAATAGACCTTTTACTTGTTCATAGACAATAATATCTCTTTTGACCCTCGGAGTATAGTTAAGATGTTTGGTCTGTAGTCCATAACCCTTCACCCCCTACCAATAACAGAACAGAAAGGCCACCTAGCTGGAGAACGCCCAGCTTTCCCTCACCCTTTTGTAAACTGGGCCATGACTATTAGCATTGTACTAGAAGTTCTCTCTTCTGTTTAAGGAAATGCCTTTTCTTTTGACCTGGTCATTGTCATCTATTACTCTGAAGCTAACTTCCATTTTCTAGCAATTAGCATTTTTAACTTCTCCATTCTACAAGTTTCCCAGTCCAAAAAAATAAATAAAAGGAAAGAAAGAAAATAACGTTATCACTATTGTATCTCTCTTATTTACCTCGCATCTCTCTCTCCTGCAGTCAAGACCTGAAATTACCTAAATTTTCCTCTCTGCTCCTTTCTTCCACTACTGAAACTCTGGCAAATGTCACCAAGGACCTCCTCATTGGCAAAGGCAGGGAGCACTTTCCTTATGTGACCTCTGAAAAGTTTGACACTTGATCATGCTTCCTTCCTGAAATTCTCTACACCTGGTTTCTGTGACCAGTCTCAATGGTCTCTCCCTATTTGTCCATCTGTTCCTCTCCAGTCTCCTCATGGACTCTCCTTTATTCCTACATGTTGATGTTTGCCAGGATTTTGCTTCAGTTTGCTTCCAGTTCTGTTCATCTTCTCTAATTTCACTCAATGACTCAAAGCTTCTCAAATCTGTACCTTAAGTTCAGACAAATCTCCTGAGCTTAACTTGCTACTAAATATAACCACTTGGATAACCCCCAGACATTTCAACCTATTCAAAATTGATGCAGTCTTTATGCACGTGAGACGTGCTCCTATCTTGTCCGGGCTGATGGCAGCTAATCAGTCACAAAGCCTGGAATCTGGCACATTCTTGATTTCTTTTTTCTCACTTTATGTCCACTAGACTTATCATTTTGCCTCTGAAATATTCATTGAATCACACTCTGTTCTTGTCCTATCACCTGAGCTGCATCAACAGCTTCCTAACTGCTTTTTCTTACCGCTGAAGCTGCACTATTCAATACAGTAGCCACTAGCCACGTGCGGCTCTTTAAGTTAACATTAAATATGATCATAAATTTAGTTCCTCAGTTGCACTGGCCATGTTTCAAGTTCTGGTTAGCCACAGGTGGCTAATGACCGTCCTATTGGATAGCACAGATTATAGAACTTTTCCATCACTGCAGAAAGCCCTGTTGACAGTGCTGCTCTAGATTTTCTCTCTGCCTCTGCCACAGTGCTGTTAGGAGTGAGGTTTCCAAACAGCTCTGGCCATATGCTACTGTTTAAACCCTATATTAATTCCTCACTGCTTGTGAGATAAAGTCCAAATTCTTCTGCTTGACACAAGGGTCTGCCTTCCTTTTCAGTCTTGTGTCTAGTCCCTTCTTGTACTCTATAGTCCAGCCGCAATGAACTGTTTTCTAGACACACCATTGTTTCGTGCTTTTGTATTTTACACATACTGCAGTCTAAAACGTAATAGGCTTTTCCCCAATCCATTTAAGTCTGCAAAGCATCTGAAAAGCTTATTCTTGCCTCCCAAATTCAGCTGACTGCTCACTCCTTGGTGTCCTTATGATTATACCTTTCAAGTGAATGTCATTTATGTGATTACATGTTCCTCTCCCTTGTTAGACTTTGATCTTAAGAATAGGGCCATGTTGTCCCCCCCCCCCCCCCAGGATATATCACCAGCTCCTGGCATAGTACTGGGCCAGTATGAGGTGCTCACAAAGTTGAAGGAAATTGATGCTTAAGTAAGTGTGTATGTTTATGGGGAACCATGCATAGTATTGGGGAAATAATCATAGTAAGACACAGTCACTGCTGTCAAATACATATTTGAGACATTGGGATGGTGTGAGGAGGATGAAGCCTTACAGCACGGGTCACTTTTGTGGAGAGCAGTGCAGTCCCGTCTGGCCAGAAGAGAACATAAACTACAAGAAGTAAAGCAGTATGAGAGAAGACTGGGAGGTAAATTTATTTGCAGTGATATTGTAAAGAATTTCTAGTACTGCTAAATTTGGACTTAGCGGGGGCCACTGGAAGTTTTTGAGCAATGACTTGATCAGGATTATGTCATAAGATAAGGACACTATTTTCATATTCCTGGTAACTAGTACTATACCTATTAATAAACACAAAATGAAGAGGCTAAAGGGAGGATAAGTGGTGATAGAAGGGGACTTGACTTTGAGTGGTGAACACACAGTACAATATACAGATGATATAGAATTGTACACCTGAAACATACATAATTTTATTAACCGGTGTCATCCCAATAAATTCAATAAAAAATTTAAAAACACAAAATGAAAATGTTAGGTTGGAAGGAGATGAAACTGATGATGGCTAACATTTACTGAATACTTGATATGTATCAGGCCCTATTATAAGTCCTTTATATGTATTAATTCTCTTAATCATTATAACCCTATAACATAGATACTGTTATCACCCTCATTTTTCAAATGAAGCAATTGAAGCACGAGGTGTTAAGTAATTTGCCCATGGTCACACTTTTAATAAGTGACCAAAGCTGGGATTTGAACCCAGGCAGTCTGCCCCTAGACAGTGTGTTATTCTGGTTGCTAAGCACAGCAGGTAGTTTAAGATCTAGTATTGAAGTTGGGGGAAAAAAACATTAGGAGAGGTAGATTTGGGAATCATCTTTGAGGCAGTGTCTGAATTAGTCATGCAGGTAGGTGAGATTTATAAGGGAGGAAGTAGGAAACAGAATTTAGTTGTGGGTCAAGTATTGGGCTTTGAGTTAGCTCCCCAGGGAGCAAGAATAGGAAGTGGAACCAACGGCAGAGCATCAAACAGGAAGGAAAAGCAGAACAACATAATACGAGTGAGGCAGAACAAGAGGACTTTATGTTTGTCAAGTGAGTTTTTTTGTTTGTTTGTTTCGTTAATCCTTACCCAAGGATATTTTTTCCATTGATTTTTTTTTTTTTGTAAGAGAGTAGAAGGAAGGAAGGGAGTGGGTAATGAGACAAACATTGATGGGAGAGAGACACATCGACCGTTTATCTCTTACAAGAGTCCCGGTGGGGCCAGGGATCGAACTAGTAACCCCGGTACATGTCCTTGACTGAAATCAAACCCTCAACCCTTCTGTGCTCAGGCTGACACTCTAATTGCTGAGCCACACCAGCCAGGGCTTGAATGAGTTTAAGCTTGTTTGTGCTGTGGACTTCTTTGGCAGTTTGGTGGCACCTTTGGACTTTGTCCAGCAATAATATTTGTAAATATTTATTTGCATAGCCCTGGCCGGTTTGGCTCAGCGGTTAGAGTGTCGGCCTGCGGTCCAGAGAGACCCGGGTTCGGTTCCCACTAAGGGCGCGTACCTCGGTTGCAGTTTGTCCCCGGCCCTGGTCGGTTGTGCGCGTGGCAGCCACTCGATGTGTTCCTTTCACATCGATGTTTCTCTCTCTCTGTTCCTCTCTCTCCCTCCCACTCTACCTGAACAAAAAATGGAAAAATGTCCTCGGGTGAGGATAAAAAATAAAAAATAAATAAATAAATAAATAAATAAATAATATTTATTTGCATAAATAAAATATACAATTATCAAAATATTTAAAGAAATGTATGATGCTTTAGTAATATGTGTGTATGTGTGTTTTTAAGATTTTAGAAAATTGATTTTAGTGAGAGGAAAAGAGAGAAACATTG